TCCCGTCATCCCATGTTACGTATCAGAGCGACTCCTAGGACTCGATCAAATAGCAAAACACTCCAAGCACTACTCAGGTACCTGGTCATCTGCACTCCCTAAGGAGCACAGACGCAACAAACAGAAAAGGGGTGAGAACTACATTCAATAAATAAGCGGTGAAATACACATGCTAAGGAGTAGTTACACACCACACATATAATCATACACATACAACGCACATACACGTGCCATCTCAATCCCTCGACATCAATAGCCCATATTCAAATACAAACATGCAATGTGACTCACTGACTCGACACAATGCATGTGGCACCAACACAAATACATACGGCTCACCCTAGAACCCGATTCCCGTCGGAATCCGGATAAGTCGTATACGTTCCTCTGAACTACAACTTATCTCCACAACGACTTCCATATGAAGTCCGGATGAAACTAGGCACCCATCATGGATTCCCACCTAGCCATCTCCACAAGACACATGACATGAAATTCATGACAACACCATTATGCAAATATAATAACTCAAGCATAATTCACGATCATCAATGATCCACACGAGTCATCTGTTCACCGGAATCCTCTCAGGAATTACCACAATCGCACAAGATTATTCACATTCGATAATCATGGCTCACACTCATCACAACACACCCATAAGGGCACACACATAGCATTCCACATTCTCTCGATTTAATTCATTACTAATCCTCCTTAAGTTCATTTTAGTTATATTAATCCTACAGATTAAACGAAATTGCGTTCCAAGCGGAATCTGGACAGAAATCACAAAAATTGGGAAAAAGTCACCCCAGGCTGCCCATACGCGTACCAACATGGCCCATACGCGTAAGGCTGTTGTCATACACATATTAGACCTACCTTACGCGTATGACCAGAGGCCTTCGCCTCCCAAAAACCCCTCAGAGTTACTCCTTACGCGTATGACTATCCCCATACGCGTATTGCCCAGGCCCATACGCGTATGATACACGTATCACCATATGGCCGTGCTGGCACTGGGGACATGGCACGTCTGCTATGCGCACATCCCTTGGGAAGTACCCCATACGTGTATTGACACCTCAAATACGCGTATGACCAGCAGATCTGTAAAAAAAAATCAGATATCCTCATTCTCACGAGTTTCTACTCAAGATTCATCATTATATCTTCCCATTCATCTTCGAACTCATATTTTAATCAATTCTAATGAATCTTATCTTCTATTCTTTCGAGATTCTAGTTATTATATCTAGTTTTGATTACGGTTAACCCATTAGTTTCCAATCTGTTAATCCACAACATTCTATCAGAGCTTCAGGGAATTCCCACACGAAATTTCATATTCGTACCAGAATCATACATACAACATCATACAATGATCATTCAACAATAACAGCAATCACAGGGAAATCATAATATCACGGAAATCAACTAAAAAGGTAAGAACATGCAAAATTCCTACGAGAGAAATGACCTCTCACTACCCTCTCATGTTAAATCACCCATATTGAAATCCATTCTCCCCCCTTACCTTGGATTAAAGCTTTTTCCTTGACAACAATGGAGAATTCGCCCTTCTTTGCCCTAGCTCTCCTTTCTCTGCATTTTTCCTCTTTTACGTGTTAACTGACTAATTCCTCCACTAACTCTCTCTTAACCCCTTAATCAGGTTTTAATTCTATTAATTAAATTAATAATAATAATAATAATAATAATAATAATAATAATAATAGTAATAATAATAATAATCATAACTACCATCCTATTAATATTACTATCAATAATAATTAGATAATAATATCAATAACCATAGTATTCTTATTATTTTTATTAAATGGTTAGCATTATCATTATTATAGGTCCACCTCACCCTAACTAAGGTCAACTCTCACCCTCGCCCCTAACATCAAACCCTTATTAAGGACACCACACCAATATACATCACAGAAAATACAAAAGCGACTAAATAATTTAAATGGGATGTTACACGTGACCCTTGTGTCAACACAGTGGCTGATTCTTTTGTTGATGCCTTCCTTTGCTTCTTAGCCTTGTTAACCTTGTTACTACCTTTCGTTAATTGTCGATCCACCGCTATTTTCCCTTTGCATGTTCTTGAATTGTATACTAAAATCCCACAATTTTTAACAGTGGTCAAATTCCTTGATAGTACATTGCTTGAAGTTGGTTTATCATTAGCCATGTTTCTTTTCTTCTTAGGTCTATCTAGAGCTCTTCTCATAATTGGCAGATTAATTTTTCCCTATTTATTGTAGGCCAGAGTCTTGGTCCATTAGACGACAACATAATATACGAATAAGTTGCCTCGAAGCTTAATTTCCTAAAACATTATGTAAAATAAAGACAGTTCAATTTCAGTATGATACACAAAGTGTAGTTCAAGTATACACTAGTTTAATTCATTCAACAATACACTAGTTCAGTTCATTCAGCAATACACTAGTCTAACAATACTAAACACATCAGTTCAGTTCAAGAATACACTAGTTCAGTTCATTCATCAATACTAAACACATTAGTTCTGTTCATGAATACACATAAGTTCAAGCAATGTACTGATGTGTATTCATATTATTTTATTTATTAATATCAAATTGTTTTATTTTTTACTTCACATTTTTTCATATTATTTTAGTTTCTCTTATGTTAAATATTTGAATATCATTTTATACAATTTAAACACGTATTGTATTTAAAAATATATTACTATATTTATAAAAAATAATATAGTATTTAAAAATATATTATATTTAAAATAATATAATTTTTATTGTATTTCTTTATATGTATTATGTGGTTTTATTTTAATTTTTGTTTAAAAAATAATAGATTTAGTGTCGGATAGTCCGAAGCTCATATAAGTTCAGGTTTAGATAGTAATTTTTGAATTCATATTATAACAATTTTTTTTAACCTGATCTTAAAAAATCAAAGACCTGTCAGGACCGATTCGTTTAGGATCGAATAATCTGTTTTGTTAGTTCTAACTAAGATAACTAAAATAACCACAATAAATAAAATGATTTAATTGATACGCTAAAATAGACTATTATCTCTTATAGCAAAATTTAAGTAAAAAAATCAAAAAAGTATTTGGTCAAAAAGTAAGAAAAAACATTTGACATTTTTATATTAATTTTGCTTTAATTATAGTTAAAATGTTTAATTATTTAAATATTTTAAATTATTTTAATATGTTTTAAAAACTTCATTAAATTAACACAATTATCATACAAGAAGCCAAGAAACAAGTTTGAATCCACAAGTTCCACTTTATTTATCTACAAATAAAAAAATATAAGTTTAAAAAATCCAAAAAAATACTTGCTAAAAAAGTTATAAAAAGTATTTGACATTTTTATATTATATTAAAAAAGTTTAATTATTTAAATATTTCGAATTTTGACAATCCAATCAAATGACCAATTTTTTTCCAACAATCAAATACCATTAAAAGTTTAATTATTTAAAATTTTATTTAAGTCAATTTTTTATTATAACCTTAAAATGTAATATAACATTATATATAAAAAATTCTAAAAATTTATTTAAAATATTAAAATGAAATTTAATCCCATTAACTTATTAGTTTGTTAGTCTAATTTAACATAGACCAAACAACTTATTTAAATATATTCATACAAAATTGACTTTTAACTAAACTAAAATTTAAAATCAGACTTTTGAAAAGGTTCTTTTATTTCCTAAAGTTAAATCTACTAGAACACAAATTAGGCTTAAGTCTTTGAAGATTTTTTTGACCGGTGAATTTTAAAATAATATTAATTAGATGATACAATTGAAAGAATATAATAAATATTACATTAAAAACTGAAAGAGTTGATTAGAGAAAAAATAAATAAAGAAATAAATAATTGAAAATGTTTATTTTAATATAAAAATATTTATACAAATGAGTCATTTATTATGAAAAATGAAAATGGAGGAACTTATATTTTTCTGATTATTAGTGATAAGACTAATTGTTCACTTTATTATAGGTGTGACATTTATTTGTCCGTAAATTTGACTCAACTACATTGCCGAGGTAATTAGGTATCTAAATTATAAGCCACTCTTTTTTAAAAAAAAATCTCAAATTATAAATCACTTTATTATATGCAATATTAATAACATTTTCTCTAATATATTTTTAAATATTTAATCTTACATCATTTATCATTTTTATAAAATAATAATTAAGTTTTTTAATTAGTATAAAATAACCAAAGTTTTATAATTTGAGATTGAATGAGGAAAACACAACACCTGAATTTGAGCTTGGGATTTCCAATGTGTGTAAATTTATTTTATTTATCATCATTTCATCCATAAAAAAATATTACTAAAATATAACATTTGTTTTATTAAAAGTAGTCAAACTTTTAGTTTATTTTCCGGGACATTGAATAAACACAGATTTTTTTTTAAAAAGTTAATTATTTCTGTTTTTAGTGTATTATATATATATATATATATATATATATATATATATATATATATATATATATATATATATATATATATATATATATATATATATATATATATATATATTTAAAAAATATATTTTTTAAATTTTTTAAATAACGTTCAATTTATTTTTTTAATATTTTAACAAGTGTCTCGGAGATATTTGTTAGCATTTTCGTATTTTATTTTATAAAAATAAAATAGTATAATGTTATTTAATGTTAATAAGTATTGATGGCATGTTTCTCCTTTTCACGCAAGTATTGATATGATTAATTAATATAATGGATACATTCAGTCAAAAGAATAGTATATTTTTGTATGTATATTAATAATTTCAAACACATTTTGGCCAAATCAACAGAATTTGGAAATTTTTTATTTTATTACTTAATTCCAAAAATGTAACACCCTCAACAGGAATAAAATCCCCTATAGTTTTGTACAATACAACTCTTATAGCTGTAGAAAAAAATAGAGGCTGTGACTGAAAAAAAATGGAGGTTTTAAGTTTTGACAGAAACATGTTGATGATGATGATGATGATGATGGCTATGATGTGGAACATAGCCAAATCTGAGCTTCACTATGTTGGAGGAAATAAATATGGATGGGTGCCTGGTGTTAACTTGACACTATGGTCATTGAACGAACAATTTCTTGTTCATGATTGGCTATGTAAGTTTTCTTCTCTTATTTTATTTTTCAATGATATATCAAACACAACACAAGGTTCCAATGAAGGCTATGTGACACCATTACTAGTATTTTCTTTTCTTTTCACCATGACTGACATGTTTTTCTTATAAACTTTGCAAGACTTTGGATATGATAGACACACTTTCAATTTGTTAGAGGTGAACCAGACAAGCTATGAAAAATGCATAGATACAGGATTTATCAAGAACATAACAGGAGGCGCTGGACGAGACGTTTTCCAGCTGACAGAGGCGAAGACCTATTACTTCTTAAGTGGAGGAGGTTTCTGCTGGCAAGGGGTGAAGGTTGCTGTCGATGTTCTTGACCATCTTCCACCCGCTCCTGCGCCTGCTCCCAAAGAAAGTGATGGTTCTTCAATTTCTTCCAAAAAGATATACCATTCACTTGTGGGGGTTATCTTAGTCTTGATATTCACCAGTTTTTTGATGTAATTTTAGTTATATCAGAGGATGTTTTGTTGATTTTCTATTGTCTCTGTAATGGTGGATTCAAATATTCAAACTTTGTTATGAGGTGGTTGAAAACTAGTGTTTAGTAGCTTTGTCTTTGAATGTCATCTATGATTGCTTATAAAAAATAAAAGGGGTGGGGTGTTAGTTTATGCTCCATAAGTTTAGCTTTTCCAGTAAATCAACAATTTTATACTAAATGCATTCATTAAGAAGGAAAAACATAACACTAACAGTGATTCCAAACTAGATAGCTATAAAGATATCAAGCCAAGCAAATGCCACGATGGTTTTAGAGGTGATTGCTTGGAGCCTGTTTCTGAGAAACTTTGGCAGAGAGTATTTGAGGCAGAGCTGGAAGGTGTGGACTCTGCGAAGAGGATTTGAGGTGAAGGGGATCTGTTGTTGTTGATGGGTGGAGAAGAGAAAAGAAGGTAGTGTGAAGCTAAATAGGATGAACTTTTGGATAAAGATGGCGGCCTTTTATGAAAAGGGGAGCACGACTAAAAGAAGAATGAAAACTTTAAAACCAGAAGAGTTTATACTCCTAAAGGAGAAGGAAGAAACACGCAAAAGAGATGGGAGGAGGCTACCGAATCCTAAGATTGAGGAGAGTCTTTTTCTAGAGAAGGGAGAGTATCTCTCTCTAAAAGTCATGCTTTGACAATCACAGCTCCGCATTAGTTACTGTGATGAGTTTAATAACGAAGTATCAGTAGTATAAACATATTTAAATATCCCATCACATCTTAATATTACTTCTTAAAAACAATGCAATAAAGAATGAGAAGAATGATTGGAGAACATATTCTTGGTTTCATGCTAAGTATTTGTAAACACAACACAAAAAACAAATTGCCACGAAACTATTAGTGTTAAAGGGTACAAAATGCCAAAAATTGATCATAGTCATACTGATAGATTATACCCTTTCTCCCATTTGATTCGTAGTTATAGGAAGAAGTGAGATATTATAAAACATGAGCAGATCAACATTAAATAATCAACCATGAGTCATTATCAATTACAAACAGATTACCAGTATATCAAATATCGTCCATGAAAAGGAATTGTGATGTGAGTAGCTTTTACTGCTTCTTATACTTCCACTGCTCTATAATCAAGGGTTGGTAACAAAGCCAATGCCTCGCCTTCAATGACAAGAACTTCTCCATTCTTGAAGCACCTTGTCTTAAACTTTGCACTGAATAACATTGACAAACACTTGAGTAGAAACAAAAATAATTATCGATTCAAAAATGCAGAAGACGGTAATTACAAGACTTACAGATATCGGTTTTTATTTTCTCTTAGATTAGTTGCTTCTACTTCACCAACAATCCGATCTCCAATATAGACTGGTAACTTAAATTTTAAGGTTTGAGACACATACACAGCTGCAGGCTACACAATTATCCATATTATTATTGTAAAAGTTAAGGGGTCAGAGAAGAAAAGGAAGAATCTTTATGAAAGTTGTTATCAAAGAACTAGAATGAAAAACCTCATCTTATTGCCCCGCCTCAATTCACATTATTAGTCAAGCAATTGAATATGAAGTCTTTTATCCATGTATGCATATTTTCACAACCATCATACAATTAGCAGTATTGTCAAATGCGTATTGCAGAAAATAGCGGTTTGTTCGAATTCATTTACACTACGGTACTATAGTACCACTATAGTTGCTATTAAACAACACTTTCTCTTAATCATTGTATAACGGAATTCGGCTACGCTATAGCGGCGGTATTTGACAAGTAGTAAAAATTATGCTAATTGACATTGAGAAAATTGGGATATGTACTACAAGTGTAAACTAGTTTTACATGGACATCTAATGAGAATTCAATATTTTGAGGTTATGTTTACATTGCGGATATAAAGAATACTTATGTGGCAATATCACGAGTTTTCATAAGACGCCGGTGTAAAACTATTTTACACCGACAATGCATCTCTATTAAGCTTATCAACAATTTCACATCTTATCCTTTTTGCTTCATCCTTCACTATTTTTGGTCATAATTTTCTACCATTAGCAACAGTGTCTACAACTCTAGTTGACTGAAAGAAGTTATCAAGGGAAGGGAGTTTTGAATCTCAGAAACAATTCTAAGTTTCCTGAAGCTGTCATCTGTATGTAGAAATTTCACTTGCATAAAGTACAAAAGTAGTGACCATTTTCCTTAATGTCTTACAAAATATATGCAATTTGATCTGTAAGAAACAAATCTCCAATATTATTTTCCTATTCTTTTTAGCTATTTATTTAGAAGATGGTTCTTTTCAAAAATAGTGTATCATGTAGGGACTAATAGGCCCTGAAACAGGTCTGTTTCATTCACACCCAGTATACTGAAATCTTTATTCTACCCTGAATAATCTATTCACTCATTGCAAATCAAATAATTATATTTGTTCCCTCTTAATTAGTTTGTTGAATTGTTGATTACAAACATATATGGATTGACTTATTCGAACTTATCTATTGAAAATTTGACATATCACGAATTTGGATCAACTCCTGCCTATTTTGTTCAGCCTCTCCTTTTTCTAAACCAACAGTTAATTGATCCACAGAGAAAAACAAAAATAAGGATGAACGGATGAGATTGGGCAGAAGTGTAATCCCATAATCACTTGTGAAACTGTTTGAGAGAGCTTATGGAAACAACTTAAAACAAGTACATAGGTTGTTTTCAGTTTATTTTTTGAAGCAAGTTTATAGCTAATGGAAAAACAATTTGTCTTTATAATATCTTTTGTTATAGAAATAGCTTATACATAAGCACATATATGATAAGCATTTATTATATAAATGCACAATTAATCCAAACAGAGTTGCAAAGTTAAAGAGAAGTTTAGCATGGAACTTACAAAATGTGATGAGATGATATGAGGAAAAAGTGAAGCAACAAGCATCCCATGTACGAGTGGACCTTCAAATCCCACATTTCGAGCAGCATTTGAATCAGTATGCAAAGGATTAGAATCGTGACTCACTTTGGAGTAGTGAAGGACATCTTCCTCAGTAAAAACCCTTGCTTTTTTCAAAACATCACCATGTTTAAGTACAATAGGAGGAGTTGCAGATGAAAAACACCTCAGACTCAGATACTGAAATTTGCTACTAGAATGTAAACGCCTGAAGAGCATTCTCGCAAAGGCTCAACACAACAAAAGAATGCCCTGATGCTAATGCTGAAAATGAACGTGAGTATAATTTAGGATTATTGGTTGAAGCATTTTATCAAACAGTTAAGCTGCATGGCAAGAGTTGAAGGCAAATGAGGGCAATTCAAATCAATGAAAAAGCGATTGTTATTCTTTCTTGATTTTGTTCAAACTTCCGATCTTCGGTTGGATTTTTTCAATACCGCGATGCTTCAAGTTTAACTTCTCACACTACAAGAAAAAAAAAAAACTTTTACTACACTATCATCTTTTATTTATTTATTTCAGATTTTTTTGACAAATCAATTTAAAACGACAAGTAAATATGATTTTTTATTCTTTTCAAAAGCAACTTCTTATTTTTTTCATTTTGGTTTTCTTTCTTCATATTTTATTTTATTTTGGTTTTCAAAAGCTTCATTGATAACTTAGAGATTACATTATAATTGGATGCGATGAATATTGAAATGTATAAATGTTATTGTTCTGTCCGCCCCGGTCGGGCAACGCGGGCCCAGCCCAATAGTACCCCGTCAAGCTCAGTTTAATTTGGGTCACAGCGTCGGACGCAGGTCCACCAAGCAGGGAATGTCCCCCACGGGCAGGACCCGCCCCACTACGTCGGACAGGAGACTCCCCCGTCGACCAGACACTGCCCCGTCGGGTAGAACCTTGCGCCTCCGCAGGCGGAACCTGCTCCCCTGTCGGGCAGGACGACGTGTCCTTCACACGTTCTCCACGTGCTCCCCTCCGCAAGGACACGTCACCAACCGACTGTCCACCTCCGAAAGAGCAGGTCAAACCCACTTTCCGGAGATCACGGGACAGTTGGACTAGGGCGAAGACCACGTCCTAGTCTTCACTACGCCACGTAAGCCCTAACAGTCACCTGAGTTGGGCCTGGCAATCCAGCCCAACACAAGTGACCGTTGGCCCAGCGCTGGGGTCTCTCTATAAACACCCTCTTTCGTAAGAGGGTCAGGTAATTCACTTCTTACCCATTTTTCTGTACTTGTGATCACTCTGTCCATATCCTTACTTTGGCATCAGAGTGTCTTGCAGGTACACCCCCTCCTCCTCATGGGGCTAGGTCGCCCAGTATTCCTGCCAGGCGGAGAAGACGACGACCCTCGCCCGTCCGATTCTGCGGAAGACTGCCCGACCAACTGGGCGACCCGCGTCTTCGGAGGAACAGCTGCCCTTGAGGAACGCAACTTTTTCACCCGCTCTTCGACAGAAGACACGTTCCCTGCAAAACAAAGAAAACTGGTTAATAAAAGATAAAGAGTATTAGATCGTGAGAAGGCGAGGCGTCCACCACCTAGATAGCGTAGGGCGTCCGCCTCCGAGGGACACTCGAGCAGGGTCTTTGTATTATTCAACCTCGGCGTCTCCCGAACATTCCCATGGTTGTCAAGGATGTACCGGCCGTCGGAGTTCACCAGCTTCGACGACGGCAAGTTGCGCACGAACGAAACTATCTTCAGATAGCTGGCCATATCCTCTTCGTCGAGCGACCCCGCACGATGTACCGATCGGTTCCCCGAGAAAAGTGCTCCAGAGACCATTCCACGTGCACCCGTGGCAGCATGACGGCCTCGCGACGACCATCCACGATCCTCTCCCCCTCTGAATATAGAGAACGAACCCCTTCATGCGTGATCGGGCTGACCACGAAGAAAAGACCTTTGAAATCCCGGACAGAATCCATATACGTTCTGAAAAGCCTGTCTGGTTGCTTGAACGACACCCAGCCATGTCGACCATTCACCGACTGCCGTTGCAGATGGAAGATACGAAAGAACAACGGCAGCGTAACGCCAACCTGGAGATAGTGGCATACAACCTCGAAGGCCCGAATAAAAGCCAGGGCGTTTGAATGCAACTGCGACGGGGCCAACCTCAGCCATTCGAAAAGGCCTAGGTGGAAGTCCGAGAATGGCAACCTGAGCCTGGTCTCTTTGAAGTAGAACTCATACATCAGGAAGCGCACCCGCCCATATTTCGAGCAGATTCGATGGCCTGGCCGGGGACGATAGACTTGCCAGTTCTAGGGATCCCCTTCTCGCCGGTCCTCCACGGTGGCATAGGCCCCGGTCGGGTCAGAAGCAAAGCAGAAGGGCGTAGACAGAGGCTCCTCGGACACCAAGTCCTCGAGCGGAACGGTACGCTCGTCAAAATGTCGGACGTCCGGTTCACTATCCTCGACCATTGTGCCCAGGACAAACGTAGTCATTAACACCTGAAAAGCAAAAGGTAACGGTGAATTCGATGACAAAGATCAAATTCACCCTTCCACCGCAAGTCAAGTGAAAGGGCGGCGAGGACACACCGAGCATTATCCCCGGTGGATCTACCCGAAACCTACCACCTCCCCGGGGAACCAGCATGGCCCAACCTACAAACTCTCCCCGGGGGCGCCCCATCGGAGTAGGAATCTCTTCCCGGGACATTCATCGGAGTAAAAATCTCTCCCCGGGGCATTCATCGGAGCAAGCGTCCTTCCCCGGGACATTCATCGGAACTAGCATCTCTCCTCGGGGCGTTCATGATAAAAACCCTAGAAAACCCCCCTACTACGGCGGAGGTCTTCACCTCTCCTCGGGGCATTCAAACTGCCCCGACCACAGTCATAAAACAAGCAAGAAGGCGAAAGAAAGAAGAAAGAAAACTTACTACAATACGAGCTGCGGCGGAGTATGTGGCGGCGGAGAAATCAGACGGCGGCGGGACAGCAAGACAGAAAACTTGAGAGCAAAAGGGCGAAAAGTAAAGAATGAGCGGGGGCTCGTCTACTTATACCCTAGCACGGGACTCGAAGCGTCGCTAGGCATTCGAGTACCCTAGGGTAGCCGCCCTAGCAGTCACCTAGCACATGACACGTGGCGAAAGCTGAACAGTCGCGTCCCCTCACATTCCCTCGCCAACACATGTCCTCAAGCCCGGGCAACCGACGACGTGGGAAAGAACACGAGCTAGAGGGTTTTTCCTCGGGCCAATTCCCTTCCCCGGGACAACGTCATAAAGTCCTCGCTCCTCTCCTCGGATCTTCGACTTGGGGGGCTCCTGTTCTGGCCTGGACCCCGGCCGGGCAACGCGGGCCCATCTCAATAGTACCCCGCCAAGCCCAGTCCAACTTGGGTCACAGCGTCGGACGCAGGTCCACCAAGCAGGGAATGTCTCCCACGGGCAGGACCCTCCCCACTACGTCGGACAGGAGACTCCCCCGTCGACCAGACACTGCCCCGTCGGGCAGAACCTTGCCCCTCCGCGGGCGGAACCTGCTCCCCTGTCAGGCAGGACGACGTGTCCTTCACACGTTCTCCACGTGCTCCCCTCCGCGGGGACACGTCACCAACCGACTGCCCACCTCCGAAAGAGCAGGTCAAACCCACTTTCCGGAGATCACGGGACAGTTGGACTAGGGCGAAGACCACGTCCTGGTCTTCACTACGCCACGTAAGCTCTATCAGTCACCTGAGTTGGGCCTGACAATCCAGCCCAACACAAGTGACCGTTGGCCCAGCGTTAGGGTCTCTCTATAAATACCCTCTTTCGCAAGAGGGTCAGGTAATTCACTTCTTACCCTTTTTTCTGTACTTGTGATCACTCTGCCCATATCCTTACTTTGGCATCGGAGTGTCTTGCAGGTACATCCCCTCCTCCTCATCACTGGTGAATAGGCAGCAGTCTAACAGCGCGTGACCAGCCAGTGATCCCATTCTGATCAGGTCAGATCAATTATTATTTTTAAGATTCTACTAATGATGGATTTACATATTCTATATTCTAGCATACAATTTATCTTCATATTCTGGCATAAAATTGAGAATTTTTTTATGATAATTAGTTTTTGATTTTGTAAAATTTTAAGAAAAAAATAAAAGACAATTTTCTTTTCCTTTGTTGACACCCATTACTACGTAAAAGAACAAAAATCATTTAAAAATCTCGTCACTTAAAAAAAATGTAGTAGTTAGGTAAACATGAAGTAAGTAATTATAAAGTTAAAATTTGTAAGTTGAGTAGAAAAAGAATGTCATTAACAACAAAGACAATTATAATGTAGATAATTAAAGATGAAGTTAACATTTATGATGGTTTATATACAATTTTTTTTTTTGAAAAAATATATTAAAAAAAGATTTGGACTATATTTAGATATTTTAAAATAAACTGAACATAATAGAGCGGAATAAATATTATTTTATTATTTAAAAATTTTAAGACGGAATAAAATAAGTTGTTCATTCCACTCAAGTTGGAGAGGAAAGAAGAGTATGGTGATAAATTTAAATGAATTGAATAGAAATCAATCATAGTATATCATTTAGTTAATGAATAATCAATAATAATCAATAATAATAATAATAATAATAATAATAATAATAATAATAATAATAATAATAATAATAATAATAATAATAATAATAATAATAATGTGCATTGTCGGATTGAAGAAACTGTTGTCAGAAAAAGTGAGTAAGAGAGAATTATTATCTTCATTGTCGTCTAAGAATTCTAGAGTATGTTAATTGTTTAATGAGGTAACATTAAATAACTGAGGGCAGAGGTCTCACATTGCACTTAACTGAATGGTACAATCTACAACGGTCCATTCAGACACAAAACACAATCAAATTATTCATCTATAATTAGTATTTAATAACAATTGACTATAATATAATTTATTAATAAATAATTATGTCAATTTACATTTTATTAATTAAATAACTAATATAACAATCTCTCATTTGAATGACAATAATTAATTATTAAAAATATTATTTTTAATGTTAGAATATCAATAATGGTCAAAATACTAACGAATCAAAAGATAAGTAAGCTTCAACGTTGCAGAAATTTTATATGATAGGGAAAAATAAATCATACATGTTAAAAACTCGTATTTCACATAAAGAATAATGAATTTAGAGTAACATATTTAAGTTAAAAGAAATATATTATAAACAATGGCTCAA